ATGACACAAAGATACATACATACATTTACACTTTATTAGCTTGTCCCCCGCGTGGCTTTTCAGAGTCAACGTTACATTACATTAAACACGCAGAAAACTAAACATATGAAAATGATGACATTAAAAGAAGACAAAGGTTGAATCAAAATTAAATAAAACAGTCATTAAGAAGCTTTCGCCTGAGTAGGCGCCTGAACTCCGTCACGGACGGGCCAAGTTTGAGTGCAGGTACACGGTTAACTTGGCCTAATCTACGACATGCAGGAGGATATGGTGGAAGCAATATACCCCGTAAATTAGAGTCCGGTGTGATTGCTGGGTAAGGAATCTTCGGTCTTACTCGTTCAGCATCTGAATTTAGCGGTCAAAGAAAGCTTCTTGCGTAAGATTATGCAAACTAGAAAAAAGGCACAAGACATATGAACGGAATAGAGTATATATGTCGCAAAATAACACACTAAAACCTAAAGATCATTAAAAGAAACAACCAGAAACTGCCAAATTGTTTTAATTAGCCGACTGCGCATATTAAGTTAAATGATTTTTTAGTTGTAACGCATTCGCATAACGCAGTCTTCTCCAAGGCTTCCTAGAGACAATTCTTACACTTTCAATATTTACTTCCTACCGCCTCATTTAACAAAATTATAATAAAACCGGTTTCTCTAAACTATCCTCCAAGCATCATAAGTTTTCTGTAAGCACACTTGATTAGTTTTAGTCAGGAGAAAAAGACCGCGAATGTTAATGCCATATTTTTTAAATACCGGAAGTATGAAAACTTTCAAACGCTACATGGTGAGTAATTAGATATTCACAATCGACATGAATTTTCACTGAGATAATAAATGTTTCCTGCAATCCGGACGACCAAACCCACCTGAGTAAACTGAGATTAGCAATGAAGCAGACAACAGGGGTGTGGCGGGAGAGATTAATGACAAGTTTTCGACTTCAACTAAATGACATCGATGCGTAGTCGATAAAGTCCTACGTCCTGCTATTCGCAGTCGAGCCTATGACTAATCAAGTAAATTAACAAATCGACGGTGGTTTAGCGTGGTCTGTACTCATAACTTACGTAAGATAAGTAGAAACGATTCTTTCCGTGCGTGACACGTTGACGCGAGCAGCGCTGTCTGTACTCTTGTCGACAACGACAAATTGGCCAATCAGATTACGACATTACCGCCAATTGTGGTAAAAAATCAACAGCAGGTGGAATATTGGAAAGAACTACTTCTGCCTTAGTTTCAATGACCAGCATCTAATTTCTCTTCACATGGATACCGCTGAATCATTCATTAAGATGACGAGAATAAAGGAAATGATCAGCAACCTTAGCAGCTTTGATTAATAAACAAGATCTCCTTTTCAGTGAATGGAGAATAAGGATATTGATGTTGGGGTGTAAAAGGACTATTTCTATTTCTATTTTCGGTCATTGAAATTCATATTCAGCTGACTTTTGTATTTAAAATTGCTGACGGAACGGATTGGGTAAAAGAGTTGAAAAACTTTATTGCTTCTAGCTTTTGAATTCATGGAATTCTCCCTGTACCAAAGAAATCTAACTTTTCAGCAAATTTCGTTTTCTGGCAAAACATTGATATCAAGTCATCCAAATATCATGTCCGCCACTTTTCTAGTTAAATACAAAAGTAAAAGTCTACTTAAGATATCATACAGCAGACATTCTCTCTTTTCCCTTGTACCATCTCTAAGTTACTACGTACGGCTACCACATCATTATGTTCAGGTCCAAGCTTTNGCCTCACACTGATACTGCTGAATCATTCATTAAGATGACGAGAATAAAGGAAATGATCAACAACCTTAGAAGCTTTGACTAATGAACCAGTTTATGGAGAGTAAGGATATTGATGTTGGGGTGTAAAGGACTATTTCTATTTCTATTTTCGGTCATTGAAATTCATATTAAGGTGACTTTTGGATTTAAAATTGTATTAAGAAAACTGACAAAACGGATTCGGTAAAACAGTTGAAAACTTTCTTTTCTTTTAGATTTTGAATTCATGGTATTCTCCTTCTACCATAGAAATCTAATTTTTCAGCACATTTCGTTATCTGGCAAAACATTGATATCAAGTCATCCAAGTATCATGTCCGCCACTTTTCTAGTTAAATACAAAAGTTAAAGTCTACTTAAGATATCATAGAGCGGACACTGTGAGATATGGTAGACTTTCCTACATTCTCTCTTGTCCGTTGTACCATCTCTAAGTTATTACGCACAGTTACCACAACATTATGTTCAGGTCCAAGCTTTTTCAAACAACTCGACAGTGCACGATCAAAAACTTCTTCTGCTTGCCGCAGGTCAGCAAGATCATAATGCACAGTACCCAGATTATTGTAAGTAACTGCCACATCGACATGTTCAGGTCCGAGCTTTTTCAGACGAATGGTCAGTGCACGATCATGACATTCTTTTGCCTGCTGCAGGTCTCCAAGGGCACTGAGCAAACTACCCAGATTACTGTAAGTTCTTGCCACATCGACATGTTCAGGTCCGAGCTTTTTGAGACGAATGGTCAGTGCACGATCATGACATTCTTTTGCCTGCTGCAGGTCTCCAATCTCATGGTGCACAGTACCCAGATTACTGTAAGTAATTGCCACATGGACATGTTCAGGTCCGAGCTTTTTCAGATGAATGGTCAGTGCACGATCATGATATTCTTTTGCCTGCTGCAGGTCTCCAAGGGCACGGTGCAAACAACCCAGACTATTGTAAGTAATTGCCACATCGACATGTTCAGGTCCGAGCTTTTTCAGATGAATGGTCAGTGCACGATCATGACATTCTTTTGCCTGCTGCAGGTCTCCAAGGGCACGGTGCAAACTACCCAGATTATTGTAAGTATTTGCCACATCGACATGTTCAGGTCCGAGCTTTTTCAGACGAATGGTCAGTGCACGATCATGACATTCTTTTGCCTGCTGCAGGTCTCCAAGGGCACGGTGCAAACTACCCAGATTATTGTAAGTACTTGCCACATCGACATGTTCAGGTCCGAGCTTTTTCAGACGAATGGTCAGTGCACGATCATGACATTCTTTTGCCTGCTGCAGGTCTCCAAGGGCACGGTGCAAACTACCCAGATTATTGTAAGTATTTGCCACATCGACATGTTCAGGTCCGAGCTTTTTCAGACGAATGGTCAGTGCACGATCATGACATTCTTTTGCCTGCTGCAGGTCTCCAAGGGCACGGTGCAAACTACCCAGATTATTGTAAGTACTTGCCACATCGACATGTTCAGGTCCGAGCTTTTTCAGACGAATGGTCAGTGCACGATCATGACATTCTTTTGCCTGCTGCAGGTCTCCAAGGGCACGGTGCAAACTACCCAGATTATTGTAAGTACTTGCCACATCGACATGTTCAGGTCCGAGCTTTTTCAGACGAATGGTCAGTGCACGATCATGACATTCTTTTGCCTGCTGCAGGTCTCCAAGGGCACGGTGCAAACTACCCAGATTATTGTAAGTACTTGCCACATCGACATGTTCAGGTCCGAGCTTTTTCAGACGAATGGTCAGTGCACGATCATGACATTCTTTTGCCTGCTGCAGGTCTCCAAGGGCACGGTGCACANAGACAGATTTACCACTTCCAGGATTACCCGATATATACAGGTAACTTAATCCTGTGCACCTTTTTAACTCTTTCAGCTTTTGTATAATCTCAGACACATCAGAATCTCGATCTGCGACATGATGAGAGGGCTTAGGAGGAAGAATGCAAAATGAAGGAGTATCGCTGTTTAACTGTTCTTCAAGAGTCTGTCTTTGTTCTTCTTTTTCACGAAGCTCCTTTCCTCTCTCTTGTAGATTCTTGTCTTTCTCCTGAACTTCCTGTTTAAGGTCGTCCACTTCCTTCAAAACACGTCTCAGCTGCTCTGTTGGAAAATATTTTTGGGTCTTAACGTCATGAATTTTCACAGTGGAAAGACCGAGACCGTTAAATGCATTCTCCACTCTACTAATGGCATTTTGAAACTCTACGTCAGAGAGGTGACCTCGTGCGATATGAGCGAACTCTTCGTTCCGAAACAGCCTGAGGTTATGCACATTTGTCTTGACCACTGGATTGAGACTATTAATGCAATCGGAGTAAAGAATGGCGTAAAACAACATGGTACAATCCCACTCAGCTCTGTTGCCTTTAGTCATGGTTGTTAGTAGACGAGCATGCTTCTTTTGGTTCCGTGGCGACTCGCCGTTCTTAAAGTCCAGTCCGTTTTTCGGTGTATCTTTCCACTCTCCTATTAAAGTAGCTTTGTAGCGATTGTCCCATTCTTGTTTGAAGATTTCTCGCACACCTTCGGTCAGGATGTCAGTGGTAACGTAACAGATCCTGTAGTAGTTTAGTTGCTCCTCGCTGTATTCCACCGATGAAGCCATATTTGGCTTAAGCTATAGTTAAAGTTTCATGACTGTCCCTTGCGAAAAAGAAAAAAAGAGTTTCTATTTTTAGTTTTTAACAGAGATGGCTAATCTGCCTTTGTGTCGAGGGCACATCCTATATCAAAATTGATACTGCAAAAATGCACTGATCAAATAATTAATAGCGTGCGATTTCAGTTAATTTTCTTTGAAGGCCTTGATGAAACCTATGACTAGTGATTGCGTCTGCGCTTACGGTAACTTAAAGGGATGCTGGAGCATAGAAACACGGAATTCATGACACCCAAGGAGCAAAATGAACTTTTCTGAATTACTTTGAAAGTCACTGATATTCTGAAAAGTGCTTCACCAACACTAGTAGAGATGCACCTCTAGCTGATTACAGTACAGCGAGTTGATAACTACAGCCAACAATGTATTACATGCCGGCGTTGGGGTATTGTTAACAGAATACTTTCAAAGAATCTGATCCAATCCCTCTTCCATTGGTTTGTTCTAGACTCTGTAATTTAGCCCTATATTTTTGAAGCCCGTAGATGAACAGTCTAACCAATTGCACTACAAGTTTTTGTTTTATTTTGTTTTCATAGAGGAACCCTTAAAACATTTTATGAAGAATAAGGAACAGCGTCTTTATGTTAGATGTCCAATTGAATTAAATACCAGCAGTGGTTCAGTAGAAAGAGAGTGCGTTGCTGAGAGGGGCACCCTCAAGTACATCTCACGCCCCTTAGCCAAGGGGTTGTAAAACAAGCTTTTAGGTATCGAGAATACTCTCTCTGCTGCAGCCGAAGATGGTTGCACCAAAGGAACTTTTATTTTAGAATGATTTACCAGCGCTCTTAAGAGCTGACCTATTTTCTGTTTCGCGACCTTCATCTTTCGCTGACCGGCTACGCGTTTTTCCAAGTCACAACGTTAAAACAGCATATATGTGGAGAACTGGTAGAATTGAGAGCTTGTAGAATTGTTTCTTAATGGTCTTTCAAAGTGTTAAAATACCAAAAACAAGCAAAGTTATGCTTCAGCAGACTAATTTAGAAAAAATTGGTGGACACCGCTGAATTATCTCTGGATTTCTTTTTGAAAAGGAAGAAAAAAAGATTGTTCGTCAAACCAAATTATGCTGGAAAAATGCTTGTGAATCGTAACGGCCAACCCGGCACTAACACCGGAGAAATGTGGCTTGCACCAAACGGTGAACAGGCACTCAGTAGCTGCGCAATGACTTTGGCGGTGTTGGGTTGACAAAGCGCAAGTACGCTATTCTGATTTAATTGAAGACAGTTAAAAACCTTCGAAATCGTGCTTAAAATGTTTTTAAATGCTTTGAATTTCACGAAAGAGAGTATCTAGTCTTAAAAGCATATTGTTATGATCTAGTTTTGCGACAAGCGCAAGAAGTGTTAGCGCACACAACTGATAATTTACGACCCGGGTTCAACATGCGGAAATGCACGGACATGGTTGAATTCTTGAGATAAACACTTTGCAAGAAAACATCGTTTGGTATCAGAAGGTGAGTGGATAAAGAACATAGTGAGCCTGAAGTCTTAAGACGCGCACTGGAAAGGAGTCGGAATAAAAGCTTTAAAAAGTCTCAGGAAGAGTATATTGTTGATATTATTATTTTGTAATGTATTATGAAGGGTTTTACGTCGCTATGAGGAGGATAAAGACGTAACGGGAACAATAAGCAAAAAGATAGACGCAACCGGAAATCGTTGGTAAAGAAATAAACAACTTAATCAAATTTACATAATAGAATCCACCCTACAATGGATTTCGTGTTCGAGAATGTTCCAATCGGTTGAATGTTGTACAATTTAGTAAACTTATGACTCAAAACCTCTTTTTAAATTTTCAAATCAGGATTGTAGGTTTCCCTCATCTATCTTTGAATCTCCCTTTTTCGAGTATTTCGTAAACAGGAATGTTATCCGTTAACCAAACGTGACTGAATTTAGGCGTCAACTGTTCGCTGTATATAGAACCATGACTAAAGAACAATGAAAACAGCTGCGTGGAGAAAACCCGTTTGAATTTCTCTCTGCCTCGCCTCGGCTCATGGCTAAATCTTTGCTGATGTGGTCTTACGCTCTGAGTGAAATAAGTAGGAAAGGCGAATCTGGAGGGAACTGCAATACAGAATGGTTCACAATGCTCCTGTTATACTTAACACCTCTGCTCGACTGAAGGTAGATAAAACTAAATTTAATACCAGCAACAATGACAGCTGCAGAAGTACTTTTATTCAAAATAAAAAATCTTAGGGCAACGCTGATCGATGGAATCTTGAAGGAGTTCACTTAAAGCTATTTCTGTCAAACTCTTAGTAACATAGAGTATATTATAGAACTTTGATCATCGAGGAACAGACAACGATAGGTGACCTACTTTGATCGCAACTTCATCGATACCGAAAAGTTTGCAAAAGTGTGCAAACAACTCTAAAATGTGATTCCAGTAATATAATGTGAAGAAACGATATGCATTGTACTTACTGCGTCGAAATATTCGAGAAACAGACAGCAAAGTTGTAATAGTATCACTTTAAAGAAGAATAGAAGTTCCTGTCTCCAATCATCCAGAGTTGGAAATTGAAAGCGAAACAGGCGCAAGTCACATGACGTATATCTATTTCTAACACATAACCACAATATGAAAGCCTATTCTCAATGTGCGTTGAACCATTTCTTGTTAAACTTATCAGAAGGCACTACAATAAAAGCTTACAAAAGCTTGTTTTGAATTTCAAACGAAGTATGCGTGATCCAAGTATGAGTGACATAAAAAAGAATATAACGATTCACGCGATTTCCTATAGACACGCAAAGTTCTAGGGCGTAACAATGTCAAGCAATCTTCGCGCGACAACTAGCCTGAGCGCTAGACGAAAGCGAAGAGGTGAAAAGTCATGGATGAAACGATGCCCATAACGCTTGTGTTCGCTTAAGAAAAGTATGTCCTTCGATTTGGGGTTATTTTTGAAAATCCGCAATCTTTTCATCTTAATGATACACTTTCTTCATTCTTACACTTTCTTAAATTCTTCAGTGAGAATGTAAACCTCTGTGATGGTAGACCGACTAGACTGTCGCTCAATTCTCTCTTCCTTCATTTGCAAATGATCTGTTGTTCCGCACACGGGCCACATCTACATGCTCTGGTCCGAGCTTTTTCAGAAAAATGGTCACGGTGTCTACCACGGATCACTTTTGAGTAAATTGGTTTAAATATACTGATTTGTAATTTAATTAGAGTATTTGTTCTTGCCCTCAAGTCGAAACAGTCATCGAATTTTGTAAGGTAAAGCTGTTCATTTGTCTTTGAGTACATAGTTCAACATTGTTTATATAACAGCACACAAAGCAGTTACCTTTAAAAAAACTCCTCAGAGTTACTGGGTGACGTAGCAACTATAACAGTTTGCAAGGTCCATCAAGAAAATAAAACGGTATCCTTACATGTAATTCACAGACATCTAGAACATTAGTCACCACTGCAGAATAATTCCCCAAGCATTTAGTGTGTAATAGCGATATATTTCCCGAGTCATAGCGTTCCAGTCCGATATCACTGTATTGCTGTAGTATCTATAACGTCAACAGATATCAAGCGTAGCAGTTCACAAAACTCTTCATAAACCACTGATCAAAACCTATCGTCGTTGATCTGCAGCTCCTTGCTGATTTCTCGCGCAATATCAAGACTTAAATACTCTGGTCCCTCAAACCTAAGTTTCTAAGGCAAACCCAGTCTAGGAAAGAAATCGTCTGATTCCCTAGTCACCACGAACAAGGCACAATTCCATATTCCCGTGCTTGCATTGGCTATACGTCACCGAAACATCGTATAAAAACTAAAGCTATAGTGAGAAAATATGATAACCCGCTAATTATTGCGGTTTTTTAAAACATATTTGGCTTTCTTTACTTAGCGACCCCTAAATTGGGCGCAATTTCGTACATCACGGAAAATCAATTGACTTCATGTAGGCGATTACAGGTGCTGCCGTAACAACCATTATGTACACCTTCGATGTGATAGTACTGATCATCCAACGTAAACTAATATAATCCCACAGTAAAACACGACGAGTTTTGACGAGTCTATACTGAAATAACAGGAAGCCAATAGTTTTTCCCATAAACAACCGTACAAATAAAGAAAATGAATTGAAGGAAGCTTAAGTTCACGTATTATCGACATTCATTGAAAGCAAGAAGAACAATACAATGAAAGGTTGTGATTGATTGACTAACAGCTACTGCAGTTAAACCTGACATAATTGTATTTACAACAGAATTCGTCTTTGAGATTATTCAGTACTCGACACGGTAAGGCAAAAATTACTCTTAAGAATTACAATTCTTCAAGGTGAAAATTTATATTCAATGTTTGAAAATGTCAGTTTGAGTTTGCTGGGAAAAAAGAGGAAAAATCAATAATAGAAACGAACACTTTTAAAAAAACGTACTGCTTAGTTCCATTTTTAAAAGATTCACATGAAATGCAAAAAACCCTTTTAGAACACTAACAGTAACTTTGTCTAATTTACAATTTTGATACATATCAATATCTGAGAGTTGTGGAAGCATATCTCCTAAAATTGCTATTTCAATGAGGCACATGATTGATCTGTTTGCGCAACTCCATACACTGATCTCTGTCAATAAAAAGACTGTTTGCTTTGACTTCAATATCTTCTTCCAAAGACAGCTGCTTCCTGATCAGTCCTTTGAGGGACTCTTCAGCATCAGCCAGTTTTTCTCGCAGTCGCTGAATGTTGGTAGAGATCTCAAATACTTCCTCTATCAGCCGATACTGTACACGGTCTCGGCAAAGCTCTACGTTGGGTCTGAAGGTTCTGTTTTCCAGTCGTGTCTGAGAAACCTTCATTGGAGCCTCTTTCTCAGCAATAGCTCTTTTGAGCATTTCAATGTTTTGCTCCATGGCAGCTATTTCTTCCATCACCTGAGGAAAGAAGAAGAAGAAGAAGTACGTTAAGTCAACCTTTTAACTCCCACTAATAATCTGCCATCATTCTGGAATAAATTCGGAAAGGTTTAAGAATGTGTTTGTGAATAGGCTAGTTTTTAGATATAATATTTAGATTATTATTTGTCTAGTTATAGTTAATGATTCTTATATTATCTTTTTTAATGTTCAACGATTCTTAGATTACCTTTTTAAAATAATTGTAACTTGAGATATGTACTTTTATCTTGAGAGAATAAAGATTATTATTACACGACTCGGGCAGTCAGAGGGTCAATAACTAAAATCAACCAATCATGAAGAGTTTTTCTCTCGTTCTGCCTTAAGAATATTCTTGTTGGAAAAATCTTCCCACTCATCAGGAGTCACAGAGCTGAAACCAAGATTACAGAAGCACACATTAGAAACAAGAAGCCAAGGTCACTTGCTATCAAGAAGGTTAAGGAACTAAATACCTCTAAATTATGCTTTGAAAACATACAGTTTAGTCTTTGAGTTAGATCCTAGGTGATAGAGACTGGGATTAAAGATGAAGGTTGAAATGAGGTTGTGAAGACACCTGAGCAATGCTTAATTTTTTCCTGGCAGCGAAAACTGTGAAAAATCAAATCACTGTTAAGTTGACTCAGTATAAAAACTTTACTGGTTTCACTTTGGGATCTAGATTCTTCTTGATCCCTACAATCTCAAAATATTTTCCTCTGGGACTTGGCCTGTAATTTGCCATTAATTAAATTGTAAAAGTCCAATTAAATGAATTAAGATCGACGACATAGTTTCTTTGAGTTTAAAAACATAAAGAAAGCTATTACAAAATCAACTCTCACTTACTTTTTCTCCACCTTAACGGCATCTTTGGCAAAGTGCAGTCCAGCTGAAGTATTTTCTAGTGATGCACACTTGTTGTCAATAGTATTAGCTTGGAATTTGTCTTTCCTGTCTTTATCCAAGTAGTATTTGGCTGATCTTAAAAGCCTGTATTGTTTAGAGGGGAATAAAAAATAAAAAATTTAAAATGCGTATGCAAGTACTTTATATAGAATGATATGGTTTTTGATATCCATATTTAATTCCATAAGTCTTTTAGTCTTGCATAGAAGTAGAAAGAAAATAACGTCATTTTTGCTGACATTTTTGGCAAATAAAAACATATAAATTTTCGTACATGATAGCCTCGAGATTCGTAAGATTATTAAAATGCTGCTGACAGAAAATCGACAGAAAGTGGTTAAATTCAAGATGAGGCTATTGCTTCTTGGACATTTAAGTAATCATCTTACCATGACGGCAGAATGGCAATTACAACTAAAAACCTATTATTTAGACGTGTGTAAAGAATCACCACTGGCAGACTTACCTTATCTGCTCAGTTGCTTGTTCCAGAGTTCTCTGTAACAGGGCCTGTACTCCTTCGATAACCTCCACCTCCTAAAAAAATTGATCGCATCGAATCGTTAAATCATCCCTCTTATATTTTAAGAAAATGATCAAATAAGAAACAAAATCGTACAATTACCTTTTGAAGTTGCATTTCCACATTGTCGTGGACAAGATCAACTTTCATTCGTCTTTCTCGGTTGACGAGACATTGTTGAGCGATCATAAGAGGGACTTCTGTATCTGCTAGAGCTTTCTCTACTCTGGCTTTGAACTGAAGTAAGGTGGAAATTTCTTCTCCCGTTTCTTCCTGCTTCTGATCTAATTCTGATTTCCAAAAATCTATATCGGTGATTCGCTGTTCAAGTTTCTTGTTGACGTCCATTTGAGTTTGTGTCGTACGAACTTCGGTTTCATGAGCGAGTCGATAGCTTTCATCTCGAAGACTTTCTGCCGCAGCGCGTTCCCGTTCAGCATTAAAATACTGAAGATGGTTCGAAGCGTGCCATTCTTCGGGAGTGTATTTCGGTGGAGGCTGAACTAACCTAGCCATCTTGCTTTCTTTTCACAGAATGTCCGTCTTCAACGGAGTAAACTTGCTTTGCACTTCTTGTTGCGAGGACGACGTTCCTTAGCAACAGCTGTTCAGGTGGGTCATTACAAAATTTGAGCCGATTGTTGCCAAGAGAAACTTTCAGCGGTAATACATCTTAAAACTAAGATGGCTGACGATTCTATCCATATGAGTGAGGTTCAGATTAGTGAAAGAAAATTACGGTTTTTGGAATGGGCTACGACAGATGACACGATTTCAATTTCGAAAAAGCCAACAGACAGCATCCCTCTATTTCTGGGGGCCGATGTGCTGTCTGGGTGTTCTATCGCTGTTTCTAACTTACCAAGGATGCATGCAAAGTTTTCCAAACAAGGCCTGGCTGTTAAAGTTAACTTCCCTAATTCTCTACGATTGCAAGGTATCCATGGTTCGACTCGAGGTGTTTGGTTTTACTCAGTTCAAGGCGTTTTCAGAGTATGCTTTGAGTATTACAATCGCGAGGAACAACTGGAATGTCTGACAAAGCTCTGCGCCTCGTGGAAGTTAAGATTTACAGACAAGCCTTTTACACAAAGGGAAATTGAACTTAGTTTTCAAGATACTCCCAGCAAAAAAGTGGACATTCCTGCGCAGCCAGAGGTCGTAATGTCAACTAAACAGTTTGTCTCGAATGAAAGAGTTGACCCATCAGGAACACCGTCTTCTCAAACAATAGAATCGGTTTGCAACAACGTTCATTCATTTGCACCAGGTTCTTTACAGCACAAATGTTTTACAACCCCTAACTGGAGGCGACATATCGAAGAAATGGAGAAAATTTCGAAAGAAGTAGATCAGGACGACTTTAATGATTTTCTTGATACTATTATAAGAATTTCAAAGGAGTATGAAGTTCAAACAACCCCTAAACGAACTGGATTATCAAGGGTACTTGTAGCAGTTAGCAAATATCTTGGTGACGAATTTAATAGACTCCAGCCTGAAATTAGTGAAAGGGTAACCGAGTTCAAAAAAAGGCACATAACGTCAATTGATAATCTTCCTCCATCATCAGTTCTTGTCAAAGAACTATTCCCTGAGTGTATGCAGGTTTTACTGTTGAGTTGGATGGGAAGCAGTGATGATGGACAAGACCTGAACAGCATCATTCAAGTGATATTAGAACTTGTGAATATGAGCCTGGTTTCAGGTGTCGCTCATGTCTTGTACTCTAGGTTGATACAAACTGATACAGTTTAATGTTCAAGCATTCTCTCTCTAATTTGATTCTATGTAAAATATATTTTTTATATTGAACAATGTACACACAACTGTATACACCTGTTCTGATGAATAATGAAATAATAATAATAATAACTTTTATTTCTATAGTGCTCTTATCCTATGTTCAAGGCACTTTACAACACTGCGTGGGGGAATTTACCAGACTGCCAGTGGCAGTTTACAAACAATAAAGGCGAATTTTAACAGATGCCCCCTCCCCCCAATTCCCAGTAAACAGGCCAGACCACATCACAGTAAGCTCGTGATGTGGGTTCTTTAACATCCCCTGCCTAATCAAATTATCTAATTAATAGATGCTGAAAATTTCATACCTAATTAGCACGTGCTTAAAATACAATTTCTTTCCACCATAAATTAAGCTCTTCTAGAGTATGAACAACTTAAAGGTGTCAAATGTGATCTTATCTAAAGAGCTGGAAGCCCATATGCTTTTGATAAATCTCAGGGGGTGCAAAATTGTTGCAATTCAATTGCACCCCCACTATTGAATAAGTTATGGTTTATTTGGGAGTTTTTAACACTTTTCCTTATTGTAAACTTTGTCAAATAGTGTTTTATTAAAATAAAATGAGCCTCTTGGACCTGTTAACATTTTCAAATTACTAATGGGGCTGACTAATTTGGAAAAGTAATGAAGCAATTTAAACGGAGAAGGGTAAGGATTGCAGAAGTCAAATTTTTCTGATGAAGATAGATGAGAAATTAGGGGCAATAAAAAGATAAGGAGGTGGTTTACTTCATTTTTACAACTTCGCTTCCTGCTCTATGAGAAAGACGTAGAGAATAATGAATGACTTAATTAATGAAAGAAAACCAGTGAGAATGGTGAACACTTTACCATTCATTCAACAGCCTGACAGCATGGTATGTAAGGCGAGTGATGTGTCAGTGGCTTTTTGGCAATATTCAACACATCACAAAAATGTTATAATTTTACATGTGCACAGTTATGGCTTTTCTCAGGCATGGAAATCCATGGAAATACCCCAATTCATTTATAAGCAAATGTAATACATATGAAGGTAACTTTTCTTTCAATTTAATACTGCAACTGCAAGTTAAAAGCTAGAATAAATTTAGACTTAATCTAACATTAATCTAATATATACATTTAACATACACCAAAAATAAATACTGCATTTAATACTGATGACCCTTTCATGTGAAAAAAGCCTACCATACTTCATAATTTAAAATAGCTTTTGAGGTTTACTGAGGTCTAAAACCCACGTCTTCAACCCCACCTGGCATTTCTTGAAGCTCAATTAAGTCATCAAACTGCTGTACATGAAACTTTGAAACCTGGTGGTCTATCATTGTTTTTATCACCCTGTAGCCCTGAACTGTCTCAAACAAAACAAATAGTGCCATAATAATGTTGACAGCTCTCTCCATTGGCATGATCAACATGCTCTCATTAAGCAATAGCATTAGTGTCAATGGGAGCTGAAGGACAAGGGTCAAGATCCAGAAACCAGCAAGCTCAGGAACCTGAAGAAGGAAGAAATGGTGATAAGGAAAAGTGGTGACTTTACAAAAAAAATCACTGTTGTCTAAGTATTTGAAATTAAAATTGTTGTCTTTTTTAGTTTTTTGTAACTTTTGGCTAATTCCTTCAATAAAAAATTTTCTAACACTTTTGAAGTATATTAAGTGGCTGGTACAACACTGCATCTCATCTCAGCTCAAAGACTTTTCAGATACCTTATGGCATTTTTAAGCAAACCAGTTAAGCATTGCATTTAAAGTGCCATTCTGCAATTAACAATTGGTAAACAACACAGTGTACACTATTGAGTTATGGATGCAAGTGGGAGGTTGCTAAGCACGAAAGAAGCGTAAGAGTCGCTCAAGGCAATAGCCGAGAGCAACTCTAGCTTCTTGAGTGCTTAGCAAACCTCCCAAGTGCATCCATGACTCAATAGTGTACGCTGTGGTGTTTACCATTTGTATTATAACATAAC